AATGTATGATATACTTAAGACATAATAAAATAATAATTGGTGACATTAAATGAAAAACATAATGCTATGATGCCTAAAGATTGCATAACATAATAGAGATAAGGATAAAACTATAGTATACATAAAGATTAAGAAGCAAAAGAGCATGGAAAGACAATGTGATGAGAGTAGGGGAAAAAATCAAAATAAATATGCTCTTAATATCTATGTGTGTAACCATGCATTATAATTTATTAAAAAGTTAGTATTCAATTTATTATTATTATTATTATTATTATTATTATTACAGATGTACCAATATGGGTTTTAGCCAATACTCCGATATTAATATAGCCAATACTGGCCGATACCGATACTGATCCGATATTTTCCTTCCTACCTTTTAGGCACAGATTTATGTGTGTACAATCTGATTTATACACTTCCTAATTCATTATCTTGACTAATTTTTAAGTAGTCCCAGTTATAGAATCATTTTGACATTTTTTCTAGCTCATAATGTCTTAAATTTTATTAATTAACCCTTTATTCTCATGTATATGACCATGTGTTGCTATACCTGCAAGATACATGCAAAGAAACTGATAACCGATACTATAAAAAGCAGGCCGATAAGCCGATATCCGATATGCCAACCGATTATTGGTACATCTCTAATTCAATTACACTCTCTGAACACATAAGAATTCTGTTGTGCCCGACCAAGAAAATTAATGTTTATAGTGACTTCTTTCTACAATTTCCTTAAAAAGGAAACTTTTTAAGGCATTTCAATGTACAGAAGATGCCAATTGGCTGTTGCAGCTCATCTCTTTAAACTTGTTGTCATGAAACAGAAAATTTTTAAATCCATCTAAAATGTTCAAATCTTATGCAATCTTTGGTTACACTACACTTATTAGCAGTGATGGGCAATAAATTAATGACATTACATTAAATGACATTATTTTTACCACATTAATTTATTTTTATCATAAAATATAATGTATCATTTATGGAGGTGGGAACTTGTGTGTGGCTTGTAGCTACGTGGGAGCTCTTTGACCAGATCTAAATCCTCTTATACATATCTGACCTCAGGGCCCATGGTTCATTATCAAGACCCACCTTGTCCTTCTCTCTTATCACCTTCTGTACCGGGCAATCTGCCTAAATGGTACAGAAGGTGATAAGAGACAAGGACATGGCGGGTCTTGATAATGATGATGATGAAGTTTCTGATGAGTAATGTTATTGACAAATGTCCTTGACTAGTCAAGGACATTTGTCAATAACATTACTATTACATTATAATGTATAATGTTCATTAATTTATTTTTTAAAATTAATGAACCACAATAAATATACATTATTATTGTTCCAATCACTGCTTATTAGTGACGTTAGATGACAATATAGGTATAATTGCTTTTTTATGATCTGACAAACTGACAGCCTGACACAGCAAAATTTCAGATATGCATCAGTGCATGTAACAAGCACATCACTATTGCTGATGACTCAAGCAGCAACATAGCTATATATAGACATTAAATAAACAATTTTGATGTAGTGTTGACAGTTTGATGCTGACATAGCTTTGCCCAGTCGGCAGTATAAGGTAATACAATGCCTCTAAAACAAAAACAATCACAAATAATAGAAACATGCACTAGAATGAAATCTACAAAACATACATACTTTATGTCAATTTATTGTCGAATTATTAAATGTATTATAAGAAAAATTTGAATTTCTGATGGATCTGGCATTCCTGTTGTTTCTTCTCTGAGTCAAAAAACAATAACCTATAAATGCCATTATTACTATAAGTAATTCTGGTACGATACAAACTACAAATGTAATAATGAGGCCTTTTTTCAAAAGACAATAATTAAATGACGGAGTCTTGTAGTTGTATCCCACGTCCACATTAGAAGAGGATTGCAATATCACGTACCATTCAGTATTGTTACAGCTCCACTTTTTCACATCATCATTATTTACTGTACAGGAGGCATCATGAGACCTTTGTTCACAATCTTTAGCAGTAGTCAAGTGGGAGGTGTTATAATACACCTGATGGACAGTAATGTCTGAGGAAACAGATATTGTAAGATCCTCTTTTACTAGTATAACGTAATAATCAGCAGGCTTGTTAATCCTGATTGATACATTCACAGTGCCACTGGTCAAGCAGCATGCTTTCACAACATTTGAGCTGTTATAGTTACATGCAAAATATTCTGTTTTATTGTTAAGCAAGACTAATTGTGCTGGGCATTTAGAGTCAGTTAAACCAGACACTGTCATATCATAATTCATAATAGACCCAGGGAGGAGATACACTGGAAGATTACCATTATTAACATTGTATGGGGCACAATGCCCATAACTTTGAGGGATTTCTGATTGAAGAATTTGTATTCCAGTTGTTGGAATAAATGAAGCCATAAAAACCGTCACTCCAGAAGGAATATTCAGTGAAACTGAAGATACATTATTAGGTAAAGGAATGAGAGCACTACTGGACTGTTTATCACCAATCTCCATCGACTGATCAATCGGATTAGAGGAATGATATGAGAGCAATATGATGATACCAATGCCAACTAATAATAAGATTAGTAAAAAAGTTATTGGTACCAAAATACAGAAAATCGCTCCTGAAATAAAATATCAATTATGTACATGCAATACTCAATCATCATACCTTTTGGGTGTTTTCGAAGAAAAACCATTTTATCTTTGACTGCAAAAAAAGCTTTACAAATAATTCTGATATAGTGGGCTGGCAGTAAGAAACTTACTTATATAGTCAGAATTAGATATTTGATTTATCATAAACAAGTAATTTGATCTAACTTCTTGTGAAGGACCTAATGAAATATGAATGTTATGTAAATAATATACTGCATGGTTCTGTGGCCTTACTGAAGCCAGACTCTTGTCTTAGAAATTGATTAACTGCATAAATGACATATAAGTGTCACTGATAATTATTTATACTTACCATCATCACTATTATGTAGCCAGTCAGTGTTACGCAAGTGA